ATGCTTGACCAAAATGTTTTTGTGTTTTGCTGAACAACAACCTCAGAAACACTGGACGATGTCTAGCCAGGCATTAAATGGACCTGCACTTGGCCATCTGGGCAGAAGCTGCAGTCCTTGGTGCCATTTTCCTGCTCTGCTTAGAAACCACATGGAAGGAAAAGGAGGAAGTGTACCTCAGGTGTGTTCTTAGATCCTCTGTGTCATTGGCTTGTCGGAACTGCCCTTCTTAGCCAAAATGTGTACACATTAGACCTAGAAGCGAGAGCACCTACGTGGTTCTCTTACCATACCAGATCCCATGTTAATAGAGGAGGAAGTCCTCCATTTGGTATTTTCTGAACACCCTTCAGAGTCAGTGCCAAATTAGATTTCCTAGTAATTTGTTCTTTTTTGTGATTTTTATTTCTCTGTTAAAGTTCTCATTTTGTTCGCGTGTGGTTCTCTTAATTGCATTGAATTGTCTTTTTATGTTTTCTTGTAGTTTGATTAGCTCCCTTAAAGTAGATTTATTGGGGGAACGTAGGTGGCCCAGTTGGTTGGGTGTCTAACTCTTTTTTTTTTTTTAAATATTTTATTTATTTCTAGGAGAATGAGAGGGAGAGAGCGTGAGCAGGGAAGGGTCAGAGATAGAGGGAGTCACAGACTGAAACAGGCTCCAGGCTCTGAGCTGGCAGTCAGCACAGAGCCCGATGTGGGGCTCGAACCCATGAACCGCGAGATCATGACCTAAGTGAAAGTCGAGCCTAACCGACTAAGCCACCCAGGCGCTCCTGGGTGTCTAACTCTTGATTTCAGGTCATGATTCCAGGGTCATGGAATTGAGCCCTATGTGGGACTCAGTGCTGAGCATGGAGCCTACTTGAATATTGTCTTTCCTTCTGCCCCTCTTCGCTGCTCATGCTCTCTAGATAAATAAGTAATAAACTAATAAATTAAAACAGATATTTTGAATTGTTTTTATCAGGCAAATCACAGGTCTGTGTTTCTTTAGGGTCAGTTACTGGGAGATTGTTTTTTCCTTTGGTGATGTCATGTTTCCTTGATATTAAATGCTCTTTGAAGCTTTGCATTGCTGCAGGAAGTATGTGGAGAAGTATTCACCTCCTCTGGTATTTACTGACTGGTTTCAGGAGAGAAATACTTTCCATCAGCCCCGGCAGGGATTCTGAGGCGTTCTCAGACCTCCTATGCACACGCCTGCTCCACACTTCTTGCTCCCTCTTGTGGCAAAAGTTTTAATTGCATATGCCTTTTCTAGGCCTGCAAAGCCAGGCCAGTGCTGACCACCTTCCATTGGCTTTCCCTGGGGGCAGTGTTGAAGGCTCAGGTTGTGTGCTTCCTCCCAGTCCCACAGAAGCAGCCACCTTGCTGCAGGAGCTCACTAATCAACAGCAGAAGCTCACTCGTTCTGGCTTCAGGAGTGCATGCAAGCAGCTGGCCAGTGGGTGAAGGTGTAGCTGTGAGACACCCTGAGCACTAGGGGCACCTGTGGCTACTTGGGGTGATCTGCGTGTGAAGCATTCTCAGCATCTCATGGGAGGGGTTCTTAATGGAATCTGTGAGGTGATCAGTGTAATCTGTATCCCATTAATTGCCCCCCCTCGCCCCCCAGAGCCCTTTGTGGCATTCTCCTGGGAGTACCCCCAGGCTCCCCTGCTCCCTGGTTGTGCAGCACACCTCAATGTTCCAGATGGGGTGAGAAAGAAGTGGGCCTCCTTGGCAGCATTCCATGCATACTGGGGAGGTCAAGCACTCAATCATATGCTCTCATTTTCCCTTACTGGAAAATTCACAGCCCTAGAAGATTTCTCTCAACACTGAGCTGTGCTGCCTTATAGAAGGGGTGATATGAGCAAAGTGAAAAGTTCTTACCCTCCTCAGTGCTTCCAGTTTCAGATTTTTTTTGCTCAGTGGTGTGCTGGAAATTCCCCACTGAATTCCTGGACTTTCACAGAGCCGTCTTGTCTGTGTGTGATTGTCTAAGTCAGTGTTCTTTGTGGGGAATTCAGTGGGAGATTTTTATTTTACCATGATGATGATGTCATTCCTGTGTTCCCTGATTTAACTGTCTTCTGTGTGTGTGTGTGTGTGTGTGTGCGCTCGCACGTGTGCTTGTGAGTGCTCACCATTCATGTCCCTCTTTTGTGAATGCATGTTTTTCCTTATATTTCTAATGGTCTTTTATCTTTAACTTACTGGTTTTTGTTAATTTTTTTGTAAACCCTAGAAGCCTGATCTTCGTTAGTTATATGTGTTGCCACTATTGTGGTTTGTCTGATGCCTTTTGAAAGCAGAAGTTCTTAATTTTGTATAGTCAAAGTATCTGTCATTTCTTTTGCAAAAGTCTGTGTTTTATGAGGTCTTAAGATATTATTTCATAATCATAGGTCATAAGTACATTTTCCTGCATTTTCTCCTGAAATTGTTGCTTTGTCTTTCACATTTTAGCCCTTAATTCACATATAATTATTATATATATATAATATGACATAGGAAATAAGTTCAGTTTCCCTTCTTTGAATAATCACTAATCTGCCATATTAGCACTGTCTTATAACAGATTTTATTAAATGACTGACCCTGTTTCCAGGTTTCCTATTCTTTTTCATTGTTTATCTTTCCTAACAGGAATATCGTTTGTCTTAAGAACTATAGCATCGTAGTATTTCTCATTTTCAGGTGAAGAAAACCCCTCATCTTGCCCTACTTTCCCAGAGGTGCCTGTACTATTTCTAACCCTTTGCCTTTCATGTGAACTTTTCAAATTGCACTGAAAAAAATCTCTGTTAAAATTTTTGCTGGGGTGTCTGGGCGGCTCAGTAGATCGAGAATTCCATTTCAGCTCAGGTCATGATCTCATGGTTCATGAGTTCAAGCCCCACGGAGGCTCACTGCTGTCAGCTTCAGATCCTCTGTTCCCCTCACTCTCTCTGCCCCTCTCCCACTCACTCTTTCTCTCTCTTTCTCTCAAAAATACATAAACATTAAAAAAATTGCTCACGTTGCATTAAATCCACATATTAATTTGGAGAAATTTTACATTTACATTTTGGAATTTTACATTTTGGAGAAAATTTACATTTTGATATTATATCCAGTCTTTCCGCCTTATGATCAAGGCAGATGGGCAGTCAGAGAATACCACAGAAACACTAAGTAAGGTGGTTGGACAAGCTACTGAGAATCATGCCTTCATATTGTTGGATATGAACTAAAATTTATCCAGTTGGATAGCTCTTTTTTAGTTACACTTCTTCTCTTTGGTACTGATACTGGGCTTTCTTGTCTGTCAGCAGAAGAGACAAATTTTTTCTTGAATTTCTTAAATTTTCTTTAATTTCATTTAAAATAAGAGACCCAGAGATCTTCTGTTTTTTCATAGTTACTTTATATTTTTGTTTGTAGTGAATATGGTATCTTTGGATTTAACTAACTCCTAACTATTTGTTACTGGTTTATAGAACAAAATTGACATTCGACTGTTAACCTTGAAACTACTACCTTGATAAGCACTCTTATTAATTCTAATAATTATCTGCAGATTATCTGGGTCTTTATGTGAAAATCATATTATTTGAGAATTATTTTATTCCTTCATGTATAATACTTATAACTTTTATTTCTTTAAATATATTTTTTTCTTATTTTTCTGGCTAGGATTTCTCACACCATATTGAATGGAAGTGTTGGTCTTTGTTTTGTTCCACATTTTAAAATACTTATTTTTAATCTTTCAGTATCAAATATAAAATGTACAGTAGGCTTTCTGTGGATTCCTTTTATTTGTTATAATCATAAATGGATATTTTTACATCTATTGACAATGTTTTACAAAAAATGATTGTATGTCTATTGAATAGTCATTTTACTTTTGAAGATAAAATATTAAGTTATTGCTACTCATTACTGCTTCAGGGAAAATTTGTACCTAACACTTAACATTTTTGTGGGAATAGAGCACCAGGTGGGAAAGACATAGAAACAGGGCCCAAATAAAAGGCCAGCACATGGGACATTGTCACAGAGGAGTAAGGAGATTGTGACACCACTCAGGAGCATTAGGAAATCCTGGGACTAAAGGAAGATATGAATTACCTAGGCCCATGGGACTTTAGAGAACACAGAGATCGAAGAACAGAGACTACCTATGATGGTAGAAAAGAGAAATGATGGCACAGAGATGGCATTATTTGGGTCTCATCAAAAATATGTGATTTTTTTGTTGTGTTGTTTTGTTTTTTCTCGAAGAGAAACAAAGAAACATAGACAGGATCAGGTAAAAGAAACACGCTGCCTCACTGAGGGGCCCCATTATATGAAGAAGAAGGAGCAATCTTCAAAAGTTAATGAAAAAAAATGTAGTACAAATGTGAAGACACCCTTCTTTATATATGAGTTAATAAACGAGTGGAATCAGTTATCCCCAAGCATTGGCTTAGAGCCAAAAATAGCTACACAGATTAATGAATGCAGCTAACCATGGAGCAAGTGAGCCTCTATCTGAGCTGTTGTGACAGTCCCCAGGCAAGAGACTCTCCACGTCTCCGTCCTTTGTTGCCTATGCAGAACTTCGCTTGGGCATTGATGACTTGAGTTTTCCTCTCTTGTGAAAGCCTTGAGAGAGATAATTCTTTTTCTCTGCTTTTCTTCTTTCTACTTCCTACATTCTCTCAAATATCATGTCTGTTTAAAATATTAATTTTTCAAAGATGGCCTTGATCTCTCCTTTTGTAGTTATTAAGTCCAGAAAAGGGAAATGCCACAAATAGAAAAGGGCAGCATATGGAATAGGTTAAAAGTTCAGCCAGTGCCAGTGAGGGGGCTACAGAAGAGAACATTCCACCCCCGTCTTGCTGCTGCCTTCGTTCCAGGTTTCCGTGTGGATCAGATAGAGGGGGCGGCCCCAGGAGAGCAGCATGACCCATGCACATGTAACCAATTGCTTTTTTTTTTTTTTTTTGCCTGTAGTAAAGTTCACATTCTGATTGCTTCTCCAGATTATGTTGATCCAGACATATTTTATGCAGTCATCCGGATCTTTCTCTCTGGGTAAGTACAGTTCAACTGCTTTCCTGCACGAGGCCTCTGTAGCCTATTCCAAATTTATGAGGGGAGACAGAAACTTCCTATCGTAAGAAACACACTAAGAAACCTTGCTAACAAAGTGATCATTTGGATCCTCTTTTGGATAAAAGAGGCCGGGTACTATCTGCGTGACAAACGATACTGAAGGTTGAATATTTAAGTTCAGAGAAATTGTCCTTAGGCTACCATATTAGATTCATTTGTATTCACTTAGAATTCCCATCTTGATGGCAGAAAAAAAAACAAAAGCCAAGTATGTAACCACGATCTCTGTCATTTACATCCATTCTCTCCTCCTGTTACTAAGGCAGATGGGAGCACAGAAAGTAGCTTAACATCTTTCTTCTAAGGTTCTTGGAAGAGCTACCCCAAGTCATTCTTTCATATTTGTGGGTCTCTTCTTTTGTCACGGGGACTGTAATTTTTCCAGATAGAAAATTGCACCTTTAGATACATTTCTTCCTTTAAATACATTGATTATACCTTGACATGTTTTGATCAGATTGCTTTCCTAGTCACATTAACCGAGAGAAATTACTTTTGTTTATTCCTTCAATAGTGAAAAGTAGAGGTAGTGAATGGATGAGGTGAAAAATGTGACAGAGAGCTCACCTAGTGTTCCATCTGGATACCCAGGAGGTGCCCGAGTGCTACAGACAGAAAGGATCTGAAGTGCAAGAAGACCATGAGTGCAAGAAGAGAGTGACAACATGAACCCAGTGTTTTCTCTGGATTGAGTGGGTCTAGAAAGTCCAAGGGGATGCCAGCCTGGGTGGGCATTCCTCACTCTAAGGAGTAGAGAGGGGAAGCAGGAAGGTTTCTAGACAATAACTTGAGGGTAATGGCTTCCTGGTTTATGAGAAAACAAGAAAAATGGGGAAGAGTGTGGAATGGAATTGGAGTGTTTCTCAGAATTCAGACTTTTGCTGTATACCCACTCAATCCCAAAATCCTCCCCAGAGAGATTATCTATGCTCAAATCCCTTCTTTTTGTCTGCACATTTTCCATGTAATCAGGATTAAGACAAAGATCTGATTGTACAATAACAATTCTAGCAAATGTTAAACAAAACATGAAGATATGTTTGGGTAGAATTAGAGAAAAAAAAGGTCATTCTTAAAGCATTTTAATAGATTGGGGTTTAGAAAATACCTAATTCTGGAAAATCTCTTTGTGTTTCACTTCGTTCTCTAAATTTGTATTAGTCTTCCATTGTCACGTAACAGATCACAAATATAACAACAACAAAACAAAACCAAAAAACCTGCTGTTTGAGCAAATTAAAACTGCAGTTTAAAACAACACACATTTGGGGCGCCTGGGTGGCTTAGTCGGTTAAGCGTCCAACTTTCACTTAGGTCATGATCTCGCGGTCCGAGGGTTCGAGCCCCGTGTCGGGCTCTGTGCTGACTGCCAGCTCAGAGCCTGGAGCCTGTTTCAGTCTGTGACTCCCTCTCTCTCTGATCCTCCCCTGCTCACGCTGTCTCTATCTCTCTTAGAAATAAATAAAAACATTTAAAAAAATAAAAAAAATAAAACAGCACACATTTATTATCTTACATTTCTGTCGACCAGAAGGCCAGACAAACTCAGCATGGTTCTCTGCTTACAGTCTCAAAATGCTGAGGTCAAGCTATGTGCTGAACTGAGCTGTTATCAGGAGAATCTGGGGAATCATTTGCTTCCAAACTCATTCAGGTTTTTTAGGAGAATCCAAGTCTTTGTGGTTTTGGATCTGAGGTCTCTGTTTCCTTGCTGGCTGTCAGAGAGGATCTGCTCTCATCTTAGAGAGGCCTCCTGCAATCCTCATCACATGGTATCCTCCAGTCCAACAATGACACTTCCAATCCTTCTAGTACTTACGTCTCTCTGATTTCTCCTTCTGCCACGAGCCAGAGAAAACCTTTGCTTTGAAGACTTATGTTACTAGATTCAGCTCACGTAGACAATGTAGAGTAACTCCCTATGTTAAGGTCAACTGATTAGTAACTTTTATTATATCTGCAAAGGCTCTTTTGCCTTGCTGTATACTAGGCATTGACAGGTATTGGTAGCTTATAATATGAACAGTTCTAGGAATGAGAATGGAAATCTTGTGGCTATCTTTTTCAATTTCTGCCTATCATGATTAAATGGTCACTGGAGAGTGATTCTGTTTTCATTAAAATAAGTTCTGGGTCAGTGATGCATTTTATCTGTGATCTACATAAATGCCTCCTCTCTATCTGAACCTCAAAAATATTTCCCATGTAGTGCAGTTAAGTGACCAGCCCCAAATCTGAAATGTATTGATAAGTGCTGGTGGCCAAAATCATCTGGATTTTTGAGAGTTCCCAGTGTCAATGTCTTGAAAAATTGAAATCTCCTCCTAAGTTCTTGATGGGTCCTATACTTGATTTATTGTTTTCAATTTTTTAAAAACATATTTATTTAGGAGACTTTCATCATTTGTAGATTCAACATATTCTTTCCATTTCCCACCCACATTAAATTTCACAGGGAAGTTATCAACCCCATGGAAAAATGTCATCTCATTTCTTTCTGTTTTCATCTGTGTACACTTCTTGGGTTTCCTAAAAATATGCTATGAGAACGACTAAAATTAACCTTGCCTACAGAGATTTGAAAGGAAACTAATTCCTTTCCTTTGCAAACAGTAGTTTAGGCCTGAGAGTGCATGGGACTGCTCAGAAAAACCCTATTTCCCTCCCTCAGACTAATTGTATCACAGGTGGAGATTACGGCTTTTGAAAACAGATCCCTTTATTTCATCATTTTTGCCTTACATACGGGTGTTTTCTCTGCCACCATCAACGTGGCTTTAACACATCCTCTTCATGTTGAGACCCCAAAAAGAGATTGATGTCTCCTGGCCATTTGAGCATCTGATGGCTCTTTAAAGCTGGTGGGTCCTTTCCAGGAAAACATCGGGGTTTATCTAGATATATAATACAGAATTATAGAATGATAGTTTTTTCATTCATTCATTCATTCATCAACTATTTAGTGAGTGGTTATCGTATGCCAGGCACAGTTCCTGGTACAGGGAATGTTGCAATAGAACAGAACAGTAACTTCATTATTGTGGGGCTTACATTTTAATGATAGGAGTCAGATCATGCATAAACAAATGTAATTCAATAAAGTATTATATAATATATGTTACAACAATAATTGATATGGGGAGTGTAAAGTAGGCCACGTGGCATCATGGAGTATCAGGGGTGGCGGTGGAGGTTTCTTATTTATTTATTATGATCTGGGAATGCCATACTTCATTTGTGCACATATCTGAAGGAAATGAGGACTAGGCCACCTGGATACTTGTTCCAAGCAAAAAGAATAAAAATTGCAATGATCCTAACTTTGGAGCACACTTGTCATGGAAGAATTGTTGCATGGAGGCCAGTGGCGCTGGAATGGAGTGTGCCTGGGGGAGAATGAGAAAGAAACAAGTGATAGCAGAAGACCAGATCACATCGGGGCTTGTTGGCTCCTTTCTGAGAGACAAGTGCAGCAGAGGCAAGTCTGGAGACAAATGACGTGATCTGTCTTAAGTTTCAAATCATCGCTCCGTTTTCTAAGTGGATTTGAGGGCAAGAATGGAAGCCAGGAAAGCGTCTAAGAAACTTTTCCCACAATCAGGGTGATGGCTTGGGTGAGGGTGGTGGCTGTGGAGGCTGTGAGCAATGTTCAGTTCTGGAAATGACTGAATGTGAAGTTGATGGGATCTGCTATTGGATTGCAGGTGAAAGGAAGAGAATGGGATCAGTCGAAGATGACTCTAGGGTTTTGGCCTGATCCACTGAAAGAATGGAGCTGCCATTTTCTCTGATGGGGTAGGCTGTAGGAGGAACAAATTTGGCAAAAAGGAAGGGATATCAGGAGCTCAGTTTGGGACATGTCCATTCCTGTGGAGAATAAGGAATGGCAGTTTATAAGTTGGCAGTTTAATATATGAATCTGGACCATAGGGGAGAGGCCCAGGTAGAAGTGTACATCGTTAAAGACTCCTAATATAGTTGGTTTTTAACTCAGTGAAGTAAATAAGAGCACTTGGGGAGTGAGAGTAGCAAGAATCCCATGGACTGAGCCCCAAGAAAGTCCAGCACCTAGAAGTGGTCATGATGAGGAGGGATTGTTGAAAGAGTCCAAACTGACCATCTGAGATCATCCACAGGATGGCAGAGACAACCCTCAAGCAGTGTGGCCGCTGCCTCTGTTCCACACGCTCACATCTTCAGTATTTCTTCCCTATTTCCAAATATTTATAAAATGCTGTCTACAAATTTTATTGGAGCTGCGTCCTGAACTCTGACAAGTCACGAAACTTCTCTGGAACTTATTTAATTATGCAGCAGCTTTAGGAAGTAGGTGCAAATTAGGGCTAAGTCTCAGGAAGGTGTGTACAAATGTACAAAATAATGAATGGGGGAGCAGGATTCCAACTCACTCTGAATAATATAAAATGGCTAACATTTAGCAAATGCTTAATATGTTCCAGGCACTGAGCAGGTATTATTTTAATTAGCTCCCACAATAACCCCATAAGGTAGATCCTAATATCACTTAGATGAGGAATCGGAGGCTCAGAGAGGTTAATTAACCAAGGCTCACAGTTAATAAATATCAAAGTCGAGATTAAATTCTCTATCTGCCTGAAATAGAGCCCTCTCACCCAATGGCTACAGCATGTTCTCCTCTTATGATCAAAATCCTTCCTTTGCTGCCCCCTGCTCTGCTTTCAGTGCCTCATCTGTTTCCAGAGTGATGTCGCCCCAAATGCAAAGGCCACTTTGACATTCATCCAGTAGAAACCGTAGAACAGCTGATCAAACTAGCCTCCGACGAAAACAACCCAGCTCCTTATAGCATTTCCTACCACAAGGAAGTATTTGACAAAGGTCATGAAGAGCCAGCTGAACAGTCTGGCTACAGCTTTTGTATGTGTGTGATGCATTTCCCTTCTCTTGAGCAAAATGACTTTTAGAATTATAGGAAGAACATGAGACATCACTGTAAGCCTGTTACTTAAACTGTTCACAGCAGGGACAGTGGCTTATTCTTGGCAATAAGAGACAAAAAGATTCTATTCTTTAGTAAAAGTGGAAATCCATATGGGGGTGGAGGGGCTTGAGAAAATCAACATAGAAAAGTACAAGTTTGGGATTTAAGTTCTGGTTTTCCCATTTTTGAACAGTGTGGCTCCGGAGAATTAACTGCTTGGAGGCTTTGTCTGTTTATCTATAAAATGGGTTTTTAGGGGTGCCTGGGTGGCTCAGTTGGTTAAGTGTCTGACTTCAGCTCAGGTCATGATCTCACAGTTTGGGGTTCAAGCCCCATGTCGGGCTCTGTACTGACAGCTAGCTTGGAGCCTGGAGCCTGCTTCAGATTCTGTGTTTCTGTGTCTCCTTCTCTCTCTCTCTCTCTCTCTCTCTTTCTCTCTCTCAGAAATAAATAAAAACATTTAAAAATTTTTAAAAATGGATTTTTAAACACCTGCCTTGATCTACTCAAAAGAGGTCAAGTTAGAAAGTGAAGGTGAGGGGCGCTTGGGGGGCTCAGTCAGTGGAACATCCAACTCACAATTTGTGAGTTCAAGCCCCACATCAGGCTTTGTAATGACAGCTCAGAGCCTGGAGCCTGCTTCAGATTCTGTGTCTCCCTCTCTCTCTAGTCCCCACCCCTGCCTGTGCTCTCTCTCTCAAAAATAAGTAAATAAACATCGAAGAAAAAGAAAATGAATGTGAAAAGAGTTTATAGACTAACACATTGGAAGTACAAGTAGAATGTGTTCTTAGTGCTATTGTTTTAATCTTATTATGGAGTCTACCCACATACACCCTGTAATTGTTTAAGACTCTATAAAAAGTGTGACAGGGAAATGAGTAAAATAGTTGGACGTAGAGCTAGGGGTACTAAGACACAAAATAACAAAGAAATGGAATCAAGGAGACAGAAGGGGAGAAGAAAGGAGATGAGAGAGGAGAGGAAGTGGGGAAAACCCACTTCATCTGAGCAAGACCCAGAGCATCAATTCCAGTCCATCTACCTGTGCCTGTGGTATAAACTACAAGATGGTATTGTGTTCTCTTTGTTGCTGCCCTCATTATAAAACACTGTTGTCAAGAAGGTATTTGACAAAGGTGCTCCCACAAAGTCATGTATGATTTAAAACTGGTAGTTCAACATGACAACTGTTATAACTGTTACAGGGAAAAGCAAAGGTGTGTGTGTATGTGTGTGTGTGTGTGTGTGTGTGCGTGCGTGCGTGCGCTTACTTACAAAGCTCTACTTGTAGCGTTAAAGGTATCAGGTGATCAAGGTCGAGATGAGCAGAAGAAGTGAAGATTGTTCCACAACCCCTAAACTGATCAGCAGTGCTGTCATCTTTATGACTGAATTTTTCTAATAAATACGTCATAGGATCAATGCCAAGGATTCCTTTACACTTCTGGAATAATCTTCCAACTGGGAAACTAAAGGGCTGTATTCTATGGCCTGTTATGAAGTTGAAGTATGCTTCTGTACACATTCTACAAAGATATCCAGTGTTTTGCTCAAAAATTACCATTGAAATTGTGTTTCCTTTCTTACTCACTGTTTCCATATCAGAAAATATGCTCTTAACTCCTAGTACCCACTTCTTCTCTTTAACTTTTACTTTTGCTTAGATGGAAAGATAACCCATCAATGCCGGTGGGGCTGATCTATGAAGGAGTCTTTGCAGAGCCCCTGGAATACTCTGGGGGGAGTGCAGCTCAGAGCACAGTGCTTCATGCCTTTGATGAGTTCTTAGGCATTTATCACAGCAAGGAAAGTGGTAAGTCAGACATTTTCTTTTTCTTTTTGTTCCTCAACAGGGAGGAAGAACAGAGATGTTTTTACCAATTGAAGAGACCGCGTGTAAATTAAAATGTCATGAAATCTGTACTTCTCCAAGTCAACCGGGAGGCTGTGTGCCTGCTAGATGTTATTGCATCGAATCAATTAATATTCGATCTCAGCAGGATATTGGGTTTCCATTTCCAAATCTTAAAACATTGCCATATATCCAGCTGTTCCCCATGGTTTTGTTTGGATCCTTAGGCAGTAGTGTCTTTTGTATATAAAGGGGGAAAGATCTGGAGTTTGAAAGCTGTGGCATTAAGTTACTAAGTCTGGATATGGGTGATGATGGGTCTGAGCTCCTCCACTAAAGCCCTTCCCTGTAAAAATACCTCAACTTCAAGTCAAGTCTATTTAGACCAGAAGACAGGCCTCCCAGTTTAGAAGCTTGAAATTGTTCATTTCCTTAACTGACAGCAGGAAGCCAATGTTTAACAGCTCCAAAAAGGCACTTCAGAGTATGGAGTTTTCAAGTCAGATTTAGGGTGAAAAATGACTAGAATTTGATGTCCACTCAAATAGGGTCCAGTCTCATCCACAAAAGTCACTTGAAAAGAACTATGATGGTATTAAACATGTGATGGATTTCCTATAAATGATCAATCTATCTGCATTTCCTATAAATATCTATTGGCTTGATTTTTAAACAACGACTTCAAGAAGCTATTATTACAAAAACAGTTGCTCATTCTTTATTTTCTTGCCCTCATAAACTTGATGACTTTCCCCTTCCTTAGCGCTCTCCAAACAAAGCAAAATTCAGCAGAGTATTTAGCAAATCAGTTTAAGGGTTTACGCTTTACATTTGTAGATATCTCTCGTGATGATAGTCTCATCAAGATATTTTGCCTACCTTGGGTATATGATAAATATTTATACATTGACTGATAGATCTGGTTCCAACTCAGTTATCTGGGATGTGCTTGTTTCTTTTTTCCTTCCGCATCTCCCACCAATAGTCAGGAATGTAGTACCTGATGTCTAGAAAACAATATAGGCTCTTGTATCTTTCTGGGTGGAGCTATGACATTGTTCTGGTTTGTTTCTTTCAGCTGATTTTCTGCACAGGATGAGGGAGTACATGCCTCCCTCCCATAAAGCCTTTGTAGAAGAAATCCATTCAACTGTCTCACTGAGAGACCACATCCTGTCCTCTGGTAACGGCCAACTTCTGACAGCCTATAACCAGTGTGTGGAGGCCCTGGCGGAGCTACGCAGCTATCACATCACTGTGGTGACCAAATACCTCATCACAGCGGCCGCCAAAGCAAAGGGCAGGAGGCTGAACTATCTCCCTGGGCCATCTCTGGCTTTAGAAGAGAGGGGCACAGGCGGTACTGTAGTTCTGAGCTTTCTGAAGAGTGTCAGGGATAAAACGTTAGAGGCAATTCTTCCTCCACCAAAGTGATTAAGAGACTGCCCTCTTCCCAACAAGGCAACAGAAACTCGGATTTCCCCTTACCCTCTCTCCCATTGGAAGGCACGTGGGCATGGAGAATGAGAATGTCTGGAATCATGTGACAGGGACCTCAGCCCTATTTATGCTCCTATGTTCTGCAGAACACCATCTTCTCCTTTATTGAGAGCTGGCTCCATCGCCAGCCAGAAAGTTTCCTTTCCCTTTCCAATTACTGGTTAATAGCAAAAACCTTTGGATACTTCCTCTTTTCAGAACCCCACCGAGGAGCCAGTGTACCCCTATTCAATTTTCAAAGTCGTAGAAAATCAATCTAAATTTCAAAAACCAAATAAAATTGCCTGTGGACAGATCCCCTTGTTGATTTCTTTAAAAAGCAAATTAAATATTCATGCATTCATTCATTCAGTTAACAACTTGTTAGGTTCCTACTGAGCACCGGTTTAGGGATTAGAGCAGAGATTTTTTTCTGGCCCCAGTCCATCTTTCTTCTCCCTAAATGTGCTGAGTTTGTGGCAGGAGGTTGGAAATGCTCCAGTGACGATGAGGAGGAAAAAGGAGGCTCACATAAGACTTGGAAGTCACCAGTGTAACAATGAATAGTTAATGATGTGGGAATGGATGAGGCTCTTCGGCATGGTTCATCAATTTGCAAATTCTGTTTTGGTTTCCTTCTTTATTTTTGGAAGAATGATTCTGTCTCCTTACACTGAAAGTTTCTATTTGTAAAATGAATTAATTGACCCATTGGAAGTAAATAATCAAAATGGGAATAAATAGTAAATCCACATGTTTAGTTTATAAAAAAATGTAACTTTTAATGGATTTTGTTTCTTTTCTTTCTTTTTTGTTAGTGTTTTCATTTAATTTTGAGACAGAGAGAGACAGCATTGAGTGGGAAAAGGGCAGAAAGAGAGAGGGAGACACAGAATCTGAGGCAGGCTCCAGGCTCTGAGCTGCCAGCACAGAGCCCGATGTGGGGCTCGAACTCATGGACCGAGATCATGACCTGAGCCAAAGTCAGAACCTTAGCTGGCTGAGCCACCCAGGTGCCCCAATGGATTTATTTCCTATCTGAAGATCTCATTTCAACTGACAGTAGAAAGCTAGAAAATGTTAATCTTGCTGATTTAGGGTAAACTCCATTAATTTAGGCTTGCCCCTACACTGTGCACACACACATATATGTGGGACAGTAGCTCTATTCCAGACGGCCAACCTAGTATCATGGCTTCAAGGAGAGGGATCTGATAATCAGGAGCAGGCTCTGCCCAAATTAGCATCTGCTAACTCCCCACATGAGTACTGGTCAAATGGAGCCTGCAGTTGGTCTAATCCTGTCAAAGAAGCCTTTCAGATTACTAAGCCCTCAAAGTCCCATCATATCACTTGGGAAAACATCTGACCCTGACCGGTTCCAACATCACCCAGGCCCTTAAACCCCATTTTTACTGTATATACAGTGAGAGAGAGGGGAAGAGAGATTTTAAGAAATTGACTTATGTGATGATTACAGAGGCTGGAAATTCCAAAATCTGCAGGGTAGACCAGCAGGCTGGAGACCCAGGGAAGCACCATCTAAAGGCTGACTGCTGGCAGAATTCCTTCCTGCTCAGTGAAGGTCAGTCTTTGTTCTACTCAGGCCCTCAACTGATTGGGTGAGACCCATTCACATATGGAAAGCAATCTGCTTTACCCAAAGACCATTAATTTCAATGTTTGCCTCATCCAAACAAAACGCCTTCACAAAAACATACAAAATAAGGTTTGACCAAATATCTGGGTATCACGGCCCAGCCAAGGTGACGTAAAATTAGCCATCACAAGCCTCCTTTACAAGAACCTGAATTAGGATAAAGTTAGGGTCTGACACACACCCTCCCCACATCTCTATTAGGGAAGGACTCTCTTTTGAAATGATGGACAGGAAGTGCAAAAATGATGCAGAGTATAGTTTCTCCCCAGGAGATGCTGGCAAGGGATGCAGGCAATACCCTGGATGGAAACCCCTGGAGAGAAGTCAGAAAAATCTGACTATGTTGACAACTAAAGGCTCTTTACGCCCGGCAATCCATGTAGAATGAAACCATTGTCTCTTTTAATAAAAATAACAACCCACTGTTTTGAGGTTGATCTTATAGGGCTAATCTTCACCTGGGAAGGAGGCAAAGCCTTTAAGTTTTAAATCTTGTACATGAGAGTCACTGGCACCTATACCCCATCCCCCTCCACAGAGGCTTGCTGGGGACAAGGGGACGCTGATTCTTTTTCATCCAGTGCCCAAGTCAGGTACAGTTAGATTTAGCTTAGTAAATTTTAGGAGACTTTAGAAAAGACTCAGGGATGATTTTAAAAGCAAGCCAACAAAAATAATAAAGGAACCCTGGTTAGATGGCATGAGTAACATTCAGTATTCATGCTGTGGGGCACACAGGCCCCATACTTTCCTCATTCTTAGGCTTAGGCTGCATGCAGGTGAATGAGACCCCCCAAGACCCCCCAAAGTCTCAATCTGCAGAGTGTCAAGCAAAGAGAATCTCAGAGACTGAGGTTTTTCTTCCCTTGTTGTTAGTCTGAAATTTGTTTTTTGTTGTCTGAATACAATCTAGATAGGGTTGAAATAAAAATAAAACTAAACACCAGCCATAAAGAAATGCTTGAAACCTGTGAGATCCTATCCAGTTTATGATCTGGGATATAAAACTTGTGGTACCTGTAAGCCGATTATTCCTTCCGCAACAGTGAATTTCACCCGCCAAATTCTGTCTTGCATTTTCTTATGCGCAGATGTCCTATTTGCTTTGCTAATGGAAGAAACTCTCTTCTCTTTCTCTGTTCATTTAACAGTAAACTTAATAAAGAAGTCGGATATCATTGCTTTCTGAAACGCAATTGCTAGTTAATTTTTGCAGTTTAGCATCTGCTTCTCAGCAACATTAAAACACTGAGTTTTTGAATGTAAGCATCATCAAAAATAAATGATTTTGTTTTGCAAAGTAATTTCCTTTGTAAACTCACAAATCTATTGGCCCACATGGTTCTACGGCAGCTGCATAGATTTTAAACCAAACTCAATTATGGGATTTGCCTTTAATTATCCACAAATAGTTTTATTTTTAAAGGTATCAATCAGAATTTGACCTGCACTGTACACTGGGAGCCATTCGTAGTGAGGCCTTACACCAGACTCTGTCCCCTCATAGGCCATTTCCTTCTTCACGAGGCAAGGAGTCCTGGGGTCAGTAGAACTTGCTTTAGGAGGATCAACTTGAAAAGAAAACCCCACCAGAGGTTCAGGTAGAGGTACCCATACTCAGAGGTACCCATAGTAGACAAAATAACAATAATGACAATAATAATAACAGCAATAAAAATACAAAGTAACTATATACATGCAAGTGTTATTCATTTGTCACTAAAATATGAAAAATAAACATCCATTTGAAATTATATTGCCATATTCAGCATTACTTACTCCTTTGCATAAATGTTATTATTTAAACAAAACAATTGGCTAGTTCACAGTGGCAGCAAGTAGTAATTAGTAAGACTATTTAAACAAATAATATGTAATTGTTTTCATTTCTATGATCTACGCCTCTCAGAATAGTTCAGGAAACATGATCACAATCCTCACGATGTGAAAAATCACACTTTCACTATCTCAGCACAAAACAGGTCATCCATGGGCACAAACCCTGACAGCTGATCCTGCTCAAGATTAGGACCCGCGTCAGACGTCGCTTAGGTCACGTCACTCAGAGCAAGCGGCAACGGGCCATCCGTCACTGTGAGCCACGGGCTACAGTTGCCAACATCAGCGATCAAGGGAAAACCCACTGACAAAGACCAGGGGGGAGGGATGATCTGCGCCACACTCATCTGATAGTAAAACAGTGTTACCGTCCTTTGGAGTTTTCACACTTTCTTCAATTTTTTGACACAAGGTTGAGAGGCGGAGCTTTTAACATCCCAAGGAAGAGGTTCGCAGGACAAGGGGCTTCCAGTGCTAAAACCAAGTCAGATTCGGGCAACGCAGGTTGGTCACCAGACCTGCCCACTAAGGGTCCATCCCAACTCCATTCCCGCCATTTCCCAGATCATGCTCAGGGTGCCTGCGGTACCCAAATACCTTGCACACATGGCCTCAAAAGTGCTGGAATCTGCACAGTCCCCTCTCCAGGGTTCGCTCCTGACTGCCATTGATATTCATGTCCCTACGCCCCCAGGGACGACAGGGCTCTTTGCGGGCATGTGGGTGGAGCTCACTCAGGAGGCTGGGGTGTCTACAGGCATGATGGAAGTTGCAGCGGAGCAGGGCTGGAAAGAGTGAGGGTAGACCTGAGATGGACTATCCCCATGTCTCCCTGTTTGGTATGGAATTCTAAGAAGTGAGGGGTGCCTGGGTGGCTCAGTCGGTTAAGCGTCTGACTTTGGCTCAGGTCATGATCTCACGGTTCGTGGGTTCGAGCCCCGCATTGGGCTCTGTTCTGACAGCTCAGCGCCTGGAGCCTGTTTCGGATTCTGTGTCTCCCTCTCTTTCTGACTGTCCCCTGCTCATGCTGTCTCTCCTTCTCTCTCAGATATAAATGAAACATTAAAAAGATATTTTAAAAAGGAATTCTAAGGAGTGAATTAACTTGAAAGTATCTTTTTCTAGGTGGTATAATAGAACACCTTTTATTTATTTGCTAGTCTGATTTATAATCTAACTTATGTACATGTATAAAAGAAACGGTATGTGGATGTCCATTTGTGCTTTTACCCCAGGCCCAGGCAAACAAATTAGGGGTGATTTGCCGGTGCTAGTCTCAAGCTTGCCGTTTAAACTTTGCTTGTAAGTCTTGTCTACGACCACCAGAGGGCAATCGCGACCTGCAATGCTCAGCCCCAAAGCTTCGAGCAAAGTACAGATTCCCAGCTGATCTCAAAGGCGGAAGGTTTTTCCCTTTTCAAAATATCTCTTTCTCCACAGTAGGACTGGGAGGAATCCGGAGAGGTTATCACCTACAACCATGCCACCAGACAGAAGCACGCTAAATCATTCCAGATAGATACCGGTGTTCAAAAGCAAACCATACTCTATTCCTTTGTACATTTTAAAAGGGACATTCTGGGTGCTACAACTGTGGATAATTTGCATTCCCCTTTTTATATTCTTCTTTATTAGAAAGAAAAAAAACATTAAAGCATGTTTTTGTAAAAGTTAGAGAGGAATTTTTCATCCTACCTAGGTGACTAGTGTTATCTGAGAATCTTTACTGTCAGGGAAGCTTAAATGCTGCCAAATTGTGAAGAGAAGATTAGTAGTAGGACCAAGCAGTGAAAAGAAAGAGCACACAAATGCAGGAAACAGGAAAAGCCCAGCAACTGCCTTGGGCTTCGAAAGAGGTTAGTTGGGGTTTCATCTATAAGAAAAAAGAAATGTCATCACTCATTAAATAATTTCTCTTCTCATTGTCCCCCTCACACCCATCCTAGCTCGGTGACACTTAGCCATGTGTGACTTGTGTGGGACACCTCCTCTCATAATAGCTCTGTGATGCAATCTGCACCTGCAATCAGTCAGTCCGTTTAAAAATGTCCTATTGTGGCAAGCATCGGAATTATATGCAAACTCTGGAGAGGGGAATTGTGGATGGACAGAGGCACATCTCTAGCCGATCTGTTCATAGTTGCCAAGCTAAACCTGCTTTGAAAATATAAAAGCAGCAGAAAATAAAGCAAACTTATAGTGT